TTGTCACAAGGTACAGCTCTGACAAAGCTGAAGCAAAATAATATGAAGAGAGACAGCTTGGCTCTCTGCACAGATGCACATGCACATAATAAAGGAGGTCCACAGAACCAGTTCATATCTTGGGGGAAAAAAAAATAAATTCATTCTTGATTAGCTTCTGCTGCCCACTCTTCCTCCCTTCGCAAATTAGATTTTAGTGTGACTAGTAAATCGGTGTGTTTTCCCTGAAAATGCACATTGGCCAAAGTAAAATAAAAAAAAAAAAGAAATAAAACCTGTGTAAGACTGCAAACTGGTAGTGGTAGCCCCCACACTACAGAATACTTTCAATTTAGATTTTAAAAGTACTATTATATTCCAGTTTCTGCTAAAGCATCTATTTTTAAAATGTATTTCCTCTTAAAAAGATAAAATGCTGCTTCTGCTCACATAAAACTTTTTAGAAATAGACAAGCAGCTGCACTCAAGTACTCTCAACAGTGAAAGTGCACAAATTAACTTTCTTCACAGTTTCAAAAACTGAAGAGTGGCTTGTCACTACAGGTATAACATTTTAAGAAATACAGGCAGCTTTCCATAAACCTAGAGAGGCCAAGGACAAGAGAAACACGACACGTTTGGCTTCCAGATGCCAATCCACTGTCTTCCCAATTCCAAAGTGTGAAATATCTCCATGACATTTTCTGGTGGCTACCAAGTGTGGCACAGATTCTGTAACATGGACTTCCAGAGTTTTCCCTCAAAACCATAGCAGGTAGAAAAACCACACAAGGACCTTGATACAGAGATTGCCGAGACAGATAAACCAGTCTTCAAGACAGATAGGGGGAAATGTGGCAGCATGAGAGTTGCCATCTGTAACAAGCCCTTTAGACAAATTCTGACCCCAATCATGTGAACGTGGCACGGGTTAACTTCTAAGTTGTCACAGGGAGGTTTCACATTCGTATTAAGAGTCAGAGTTTTCCTGCCCACGCACACGCTTATCTCTGGTTTGCAAAACTCCTGGCAATCGCTTGATTCTCTCAGGGCAAGAATTTGGCCAGACCCGTCGGTGTTCCTCCTCCTTCCAGTGAAGTACCTTGCAGCATTCCTCCTCCCTTCAGCAATGCACCTTGCAGCTCTCAGCACGGCTGTCACCTGCTTCAAATCCTGGCTTCACCCAGCGCTGGCAGCTGTGGAGCAGCCCATTATGGACCAAAAGGTTCAGAAATATGGAAACAAGTAGCTGTGACAAACTGGGTCAAAGTACAAATTCAGCATTACCATTGCGGGGATGGGCTTCTTTCTACAGGCATAAACCAGAACGTGTAGTAATCGTCTGCCGTGAACCAGAAACTTCGCACCAAGTGACATACGCGCACAGGCATCCAGGAGACGCTGTGAGCTACACCACTGCATCCGATTTTTAAAGGAAATATAGGAATGGGTTTTCCCCTTTTATCTGCATTGGCCTCCAGCATCTGAATGAAACACACTTGGGTGAGGTCTGTCCAGTCTTGGCCTTAGACTTCTTAACATACTTCTCCAAGATGCCAAAATATGTGAATATTGTCTGTCTTCAATCTGAAGCACTCTGCGTAGTGTGAACTCAGCATTATTAAAAGCCTCCAACCCCACATTTCTTTAACCAAAATGTACATGAAGCAAAACCAGATTTTGGGGTAGTCCCAGATAGAAACGGTACCTTTAGCAATTATCAGATGTACAGTGACCCCTACTCGCTTGTTACTCCAACTGTTAGTGAAGACCTTGTCCCAACTCCCTTCCATTGGTTTCATCAATGCCAGAGGGACCTGCTACCAGGTGGTGGTGGCCTATGTGAGCAGGCCTGGGAAGGACTTCTCTTCCCTAATAAAAGTTCTGCTCTGAAGCAGCAAAGTTGCATCATCGCTTAACACAGCTTAAACACAACTGTGTCACTTCAGACCTACTGAGCATGTCAACCAGCACCAAAATGCAGGAAGACAAAACCCCAGCTATGTGAGACAATTTCTATAGGACTGGTTGAACTGGAAAGCTCCAAGTTCCAGCTAAGAGGTTGTAACCGAACCATCTGCAGAAAATACAGGCAAGAAAATATACAGACAACAGTGATGGAGACAAGTGGTATCACATGGAAGTGAGCAGACACACTCACTTTTTCTGTGAATACTAGGCAATTAGGACAAAGGTAGTAGTCATATTCATTGGTCAGCAATTAAGTGTAGAGCCCTTCCAGATAAGTTAAAGCAGAACAAAGGAACATTGCCCATGCTCTTTGTGCCGGAGACAGATATTTTGCTCAGTGACGCAAAGTCAATTGCAAGAGCACATTCAGCCCACAATGAGCAAAGAGAACTGTAATCCCTACTGAGCCAAGACCTCTGGATACCAGTCATCTGGTCCTTCTTCAGCATCAGCTTTTTGTGCCTTCCTAAGTGAGAGATGCCACAACATCAGCGGTCTCCGAGCTCTCCCACCAGGTTCTTAGACGTAGATCAATGTGATGCTACCTTGGAACTGCAAATCCCAGTGGGGAGAGAAACATCATTGTTCTTCATGACAATGACAAGTGCTGCCAAGGCCAAGAGCGTAGCATCTGTCCATATTAGTCTGAGAACCATTCATTTTTGGAGTCAATGCTGAACTCCATGGCAGTCAGCTTGCAAGTCCATACTGGAGAACACGGTATTTAGTCTAAACAAGCAATAAATGAAAGTTTTGAAAGGTTGAGAGAGAAAACGCTCCTGTAGCTTTAAGTTTATTAAACCTAGCATGGTTGAAAAGCAAAAGACGAAAAACATGATATATTTTTGTTTATTATTGCTCTTAAAGGGCTTGGTAGTCAAATATACAAGCTATGTTCTATTAAACCAGAAGAAAATAAGATATAAAATCTATGCTCACTTTTCCAATCCAAGCCACCTGCTAATCTTCATTAGTGACATTAACTTCAGCTATTTCCAGTCACTTTAATTTATACAAACTCTGTGTACGTGTGCGCGCACGTGTGTGTAAAAACCCCCTTTGAGATAAAATTCAAAATGAAGAGATTTGTGTTGGTTTTGTACTGTTTTGTGCATTGCTGTATATTTCAGTTTTCCAAATGGTTACTGATATGTCTGTTTAGAAGAGCAAAATTTAAGTAACTGATGTTGTATTTATTATATTTTCAAAAAGAAAGCATGACCAGTAAGTTATGATAAGAAAGTATGAACTGTTGATTATTCTCCCCTTGATGTACATGCACTAATCCCATGATTGTGAATAGGGAGTTACATGCACTAAGAGGAGAAAAGAATCCCGTAAAGAGAAAGGTTACTAATTCCCTTCTCCTTTAAGCATCTCCCCGCTTCTCAGCATTAAGAAGGGATTTATTTTGTGAAATTCTTGTCATGCCCATTAATATACTGCTCAAAATGTAAGTATAAAACATAGTCAATGGTCAGCCTGCTTTGCAAGACTCACTCTGCTAAGCCAGTACAATTTATATATACTCAATATCATCTTCAGGAAGCAAGTATACAGCATTTGTTAACATCTTTCTAAGAAGCAAGAATGATATCCATTACTTAATTACTTTATAAAAAAAAAAGAATAAAGAAAAGAAAGAAAAGCCCACTGCTTTTAGTCCTCCACTTAAAAACCAGGGAAAAGTCAGAGAGTTATCTTTATCAGCATTTGGAAGTCTAACCATATTTAAAGACAAAGTACAAAAACATCCAGCAAGGAAAACAGAGTCATGGCTAGGCTCTGTTCTCCTCAGTTCCCAAAGCATATTCCAAATTCCACTAACATTAACAACAGTTTTGCATCCCCTATCTTAGGGAAGATTTATTGAGGGGACAAAGATGACATTCTAATGCTGGGGCTACAGGTACAATGATTCAGTGAGGATGAATCTAACAGGAGACAGACAACACAGGTCATCCTTCAAATCCTCTTGTTGAAAAGACCACAAATAAAATCAAGTGCATGACAGAACAGTGATTAATGACCCCAAGTAAAATATTTTTCTAAGTTACAAAATTGCTCTTCCAGTGTTTGAAAACAGAAAAACCTGTGGGAGAAGAGGTTACATTCCAACAGTTAGAGTAAATACGAAAAGAAAGTAAATTATTACTCTCTTATCTTGGTTACTAAAGCAAAGATGAAAATTAACGACCACTGCTTTGATGAGATCTGCTCTTTACAAAAGTGAGATAAATATTCTAGTGGCAGCTGGGTTAAAAACACAGACCCTGAGGGTCAGCTTCTGCCCTCAGCTGTAGATCTGCAACCCATTTCACCAACTTCTGAGTGTAGCCGAATGCAGATTGTGGCCTTCAGACTTGAACATACAGGTAGTTCTCATCTGTTTGCAAATAATTCTCCAGCTATGCATACAGCAGCAATCTACAAAAATCTCAGAATATGCATTTGTAAAAAAGAAAAAAGAAAGGAGAAAAAGAAAAAAAAAAAAGAGACAGGTACAGCCATGATTCTGATTTCTAATTTTCAGTGAAAAACCCCAAAAGGTCAACAAGCAAAACTAAAGATATTTAAAATCCCTGAAGAGACCCCATACTCTTTCTAATTCTTAACAGCACAGCTCACCTTGCAATATACTTCACATTAACATCTAAAGCACGACCAAGTAGAAAGTGCAGCACACCCTATCATTACAGCACACAGGGTAAGATCCTGGCCCCATTTGAATCAATGTCAGAACTCTCATTAAAAGTTCAAGAGATGCCAGTATTTGAAATCTGACTGCTACAGACCTCTCCTTTTCAAATTTTTTTGTAAAGGAAGACATTTTGAAAACTACTGTGCTGATTTCTGCTGCTGCCTCCCAGTTTACCAAGACAGGTTGACTGAACTGGACTTTGGTGATGAGAGATGCGAACAGAAATAAAAGGAGAAAACGTCAGGACAATTGAATAAATTTCCTTTGCACAACTCCAAACCACATGGTCACCATTAATTCAGAAAACAAAACAAGCCCCAACAGATTCAAGATTATCGTACATGTATGATGTGAAACAGGGCAAACAACACTCAAGACTGAAGTAGTATTTTGAAATTAAGCAGCCTTGAGCAGTTAGCAGGAGATAGGATGAGAATTTTATACTGTTTTAATACTAGTGGACCTGTTCTATGGTATGTGCTGATCAATAACACACTGCTTCCAAACTCCACTATCCATTCTCTTGCATTACAGAAGTTTTAAGACGTTGTCTAAAAATAAAAAGTATCAGTGTCACATACAAATAGGATTTCACCTGTAGCCATGAGAACACAGCCTTTCCAAAGTGACTCTAACCCAGTGAACATCTGTTGATTAACTTAAGAAGGGTTGTTTTTTCCTGGCTCATTAATAAAAAAAGTTGGAAATCAACAAACATTACGTTGGCTTTAGCAAGAGGAAACATTCAATGGCTCCTGTTGTAAAAGTGAGTGTAGTGCTTTTGACAGAAACCAGTGTATTCAGTCATCTGAAGATGCATGTGGCCATGGCCAATGCCCTCTTTTCTCCCCCTACCCCCAAGTCCCCCAACAAAGCAAGAAAAATTAGTTTCTTCTTCCACCCCACCCCAGATTTTCTCCCATAGTTTGACTACAGTAATCCTTAAACAGGCAGGAAGTTGATGCGTTCTCTTCAGTTGATGCCTCCAACTTCTTCATTCTTGGCTCAAGTTTTTTTCATTAATATTAGTCATCAGTTATTAAGAAAAAGATAGTTTCTAAGTGTTTGTTGTTGTTTTTTAACTGAAGTTAAATCGGATACCATAGTCTGGTTATATGTGCTGAACTGCAGCTGTCAGTTATTCCTTTTTCTTGAATTCTTGGTTGCCATAGCTGGAGCCTTTTTCTATTTCAGTTACTCCTATCAGTCTACGAACTCCAAAGGAAGCTTTAAAATATAACAGAGAAATGGGAGGCATATATTAAAACCAATTCAAGGACTTAGGAAGTTACATGTAAATGCACAAGTAGAACCAACATGAGTTAACCCAGTCCTGAAGACAGTAGTGACTACAGACCAACAGTGTGCTGTATGCAGCTGCGCATGGATCACAGGTCAGATGTCACTAAAAGAGGACAATCCAGATTTAAAAATATAATTAATGTTTCTGTGTTTATTAACAGGACAGGTATTATCAACACTGAGGCATTCCCCCCTGCCCCTAGTTGTTTTCGGGGTGGGGGAGATTATTTTTTTTTTGTTTGTTTGTTTTTTTTAGGGTTTTTTGGTTGGGGGATTTTTGTATTTTCTTCTTTTTCTTTTTTTTTTTAAATTCGCAGACAAGGTGTGCAGTAAAAGTATTTTCTCCTTCAGGCACCGTAACAATGGGCTGCAAGACTTGCTTGCTATTCATTGCTATAGATATTGCCTAAGATATAAAGGCAAGCTTGCCTGGATTAAAGCTTTTGAAATAAAAATGCTATACAATATAAAGACCACAGAGTGAGCTCCAAGTACTCTTCTGCAAGCCTCATTCATATTAATTAATACACAGAACTTATTGGAGGTAATGGATCCTGGTACATGTCACTCTGGGCTTAGGATCTTCTGTGCTTTTATTACCTGCTCCAACAAGTCCCAGGAATGCAAGGATAAGGAGAGGTGATCCACTTGCAAAAACTCCAAAGCCAAATGTGAAGAGAGGAGAGAGGAGAACTGTGGCCCAAAAAAGAAAGTTTAGGAGAGTCCATGGTCTCCTAGGAGGTTTAAACTGCTGGCCAGGAAATATGCCTTCCTGATTATACATCTCTTGCAAAGCATCCTGGGAGAAAGAGAAGATAGAAGAAAACAGGTTCATAATGTTTGCACCAAGCAATCCAAGACTAGTCAACTCCAGGACAACGTCAAGGATAGTATCTGCAGTAAATACTCATCAAGAGTACACAGTATCCATTTCCATCTGCTGTCGTTTACTTGGGCATTTCTGTTGACCACTGAGGCTACCGTATTAGCCCTTTGAAGGCAATCTTGGCCACCATCAGAAACTGAAACCGTATCAGCCTCTCCACTACCAAATATCTTCATCTCTTCTCTTAATTGCATAGGAGTTTAGAGCAGGATCAGGCCAGAGGCCAATTCAGACACTACCTGCCTCTTTGCTGGATGCTTTTTCTTCCCATTTTTACTTCCAGAAATGTCAGCATGATTTAGCAAAGCACAGCAGAAAAATGCTGTACATGCAGCCAGAAGAGGCAGGCAAAGCACAAGCTAACCCGCAGAGACGGCACTGTGCTAGCCATAACCCCAAGACTTCAACAGAGCAGTTGCATCCTGCGCTGAGCCTGCAGAGAGATGCAATCATGAAACACATCACTCAAAGGGCAGCACGCCCACAGTCTTCCCTCAGTGTGTATGAATCTTCTGCAAGGTTTCCAAGCCATTACCAAGGATGGCTCAAGTTTGGCTATTTCTTATTTTTCCCTGCTTAATCTGTTTTTCTTTTACCTTCCCTTATAAAGGGCTGAGAAATGCAAGGTGTTCCTTGCGAATAACACAGCCTTTTGAGGACATACCCTCTGTGCAGGAATAGCGCTTTAAGGATTCCAGTTACAACATATTGCTACCACCATAAGATCAATATATAAAATATCCATGTATATGAGTAATACCTCCCTGGCAACACCTCACACCAAAGTTGAACGGAGGTACAGCCAACACCAGCAAGGAACACCAAGCCCTCCATCTGCAAGGAAAGCAGAGCATTCTGCCCAAGGAATGGTGCCAAGCAGAGTGAATGGTCTGTGCTGCATCTGCTTAGCTCTGCATTTACTGTTTAACAAAGCAGGAGCCAAGCAGAGAAAGACCACCCCCGTTAACATACACCTTAATGTCTGCTCCTCCAGCCAGGCAACGTCAGAAGGAATTCTTGCATCTAAGAGCCTTTTCACAAACGAATTACATGATGGCATGTCCCTGATAGCAGAAGGTGGGATTCAAGGATCTCAATATTTTCTTTTTAAGCTCTCTAATCCCTTATTACACTAACTGACCCACAAGCTAGTTTGATACACCTGCTAATGGGAGGTGGGGGAAGAAGATGATGATAGCTACTGTTCTTTGTAAGATAACTTCTCTCCCCTTAACTGAGTTACAGCTTAGGTAATCAAACAAATTAGGTTAAAATGAACAAAACGAAACTCAGAACAATCTTCTGCCTACCTACAGACTAAGCGTAAGCTTGGAAATGCTACAGCACAGGTCATCATAGCAGAAGAAAGCCCAAGATAGTTAAAGTTTCTGTGCTCCTCTGTCTTCCCACAAAGAAAAGCAACACAAAAATCAAGATAAATAATTCAACAATCCACCAATTAGGGCTCGGCAACATTAATTACAGTTATCCCCTCCTCCCCACAGAACTTGTTGAATCTGTGGGCAAGAAATTAACCTAAGGTAAAAATTAATCTAAGGTAAAAAAAGAAAAGACAGGAGGAAAAGCTTTGAGCCATTTGAAGGCACGCTGGCCATGCACTACATCAGTCTCTGGCAGCAGATCCCAGGGACTGTCTGTACCATGTCACACACCACTGCAGAGGTATTACCAGGAGGCAGAAGGAAAGTGACAGTGTAAGAAACATGAAAGCAAAGGACAATTGCAGCTAAGAGTGGGACCGGCTGTCTCTGACAGACAGTTATCACTCTTCTTGAGTGCCTAAAAACACCCACAGGGAAAATGAAGCTTTTAGAAATGTATGACAGAGACCAAGAACTGAAGAATATAAAAAGACAGTGGACTGCTATTAGACTTCCGCAACTCAGGCATATCTCTGAATACCATTGTGCTTCCCAGCAATTTGAAACCTACTCACTAGCCAGCCCTCTGCGGCCAAGGGGCTCTTCTCTGCTGCTCCTTCCAGCAGTTTGAGGGATGGCTGCCTAATTACACATAGTACTTCCATCTCTTCTCTCTATCCAGTGGAATAGTGTGCATTACTCAGTGCCTTAATACACTACCCCTGTGAAAGTCCCAAAAGAGAGAAAAGAAAGCAAAGCTCTTTACCTTTTCCTGGTAAAGCTTATGAAGCCAGTTTGCAGCTTCCTTTTCATCTTGAGGGATATCTTCCAGAGGAAATCTCCTAGTTTAGTAGAGAGATTAAAAAAAGGAAAAAAAAAATTAAGGGAAAATCCAGGTATTTGACTTTAGACCTCTACTAGGGAGGATATTCCATTCAATGAAGGGCATAAGCTACAAGTAATACTGTCCCTGATGGCAAAGGTCTTAAATGCAGAGAACTGAGACTTAAATAACAACCGATTCTCCACCTAAAAACTCAGATTCCTAAGACAAAAGAAACCATACAAGCTCCTATCGATTTCAAAGCACATTAGTAAAACAAGCGTTTCCCATTCAAACATTGTTCTTCCTTCACTGGAACCGCCACCAGTGGATTGCCAGTGAGCTCAGACTGAGGCACCCAGAGCTGGGAAAAGACAAGCAAGTGGCAAACCCCAGGATAACTGTTTGTTACATTGTGTTAGTGAAAACCCCATTGTGGAAGGAATGGGAGGGGTGGTTAAAAATTCACTTTGTACCAACCCTAAGGAAAACATCATCTACAGCAACTGCACTTTTCTCTGCCTCTCCAGCCCTACAGATTGAGGCATGCAGTTCTGGGTGCATATGAAAATTATGCCCAGCTCCAGGTACTGACCTGACCTCATCGAGAACAGGCACCTTTTAAGAGCCTCTTTCTAGTGGTGAAGAGCCAACCATTTTCCTGCATTCTTTTATTTTCTGAGATAGGCCACTAACACACTCACAAACGTGTCATCTCCTTTCTCAGTGGCACACATCTCAGTCCTGGATCAATTCAGAAAAAAGTTGCTCAGTTTGTAGAGGGCAGGCACACGCTTTACCCTCAGCTCAAGTATATTTTGGCAACACTTGGGACTACATCAGGGGCCTCTTACAGCAGGGCAGTAAGAACAGAAGGGTGACTTCTGGGAGGGCTCTAGACACAGTGATCCCAGGTGCAACTAATTTGCTGCTGTTCAACCAGGGAATATGTTTCCACTGTATGAATTTAAAGCCTTTGAGTCTGCAGCAGCAGAGGGAAGATGTTCTAATACATTTCTAAATCCCATAAACAAATTGAACACCAGATTTTACAGATTTACTTTCATTAGCTCTAACAGGAGGAGCCGCTCAATTAATATAAATAATGCTCAATAAAAGCTCAGTAAAAGTCATTTGCTGAAAGCTCTCTCGTAAGATTGTTGCTGTATTGCTATCACCACTAGAGGGTACTCACAGCAGCAACATTTGGTAATTGAGCTGATTATTTTCTCTGGACCCAGTCAGGAGAAAGACTGGATCCTCTGCAGAGAGCTAAGCTTCTTACCTCTGCACAGGTAACTGCATACGCATATACCAAGAACAAGAGCTTATGTGCTTCCTTTCTCTGAGCTAAGCTAAGTCTGCTGGCACATTAAGGACACATTCAATTTTCAGCAAAAAGATGTAAAAATAGTTTCCTTATTCTCATAGCTTCCTTGCCAAAAGACAGAAAAAGCTTCAAGTGTAGAAAAGTATCTTGAGAATGTTGATTCTGCCCACAAACATATTTTAAATCAAAATTATCCAAACATTAGTTTCCTTAATAGGGTACAATTAGTAATTTTACCTGGCAACATCATGCTCAACAGAATTTTATGAACCCAAACTGCTTCTAACGACTATTGAAAACTACATTTCTCTTCTTTCTTCTCACTACCTCACCAATAAATAAAACCAACTTGCATCTCCATTAGCAAGCCATAAGATATTTAACTGAATGCAGCCACTCTTCAATGTAAAATTATACAGATGTATATCCATGCATGTATACCCCAGATCTAGATAGACATGCTACACACATCTGCCATCAATATGGAATTACAGGTGACAACTGCCCAACCAGCTGTTTTGCTAGCCTGTAAGTGGTCTGCTCACTTTCCTCATCAGGAGTATGTCTGGCAAGTGTAAATAGTCAAAATGAAGCCCCTTGCAAATGAATGACCCCATCTCTCTCCCCATCACCTCTGCAGCCTTCTTTCCAATTGGAAGACTAAAATGTTGTAGAAGTTGCAGTATCTGAGAACAGAACTGCAACACGTGTCCTTCCCTTCCCCATTAGGGCTGCAGCACTCTGCGTCCCCTGGGATAGCATTTCTTCCACAAAACTGTTGCTGCTATACCTCGACATAATGGATAATCAGTGTGATTCCCTACAAAGTCTTTCACCACTGGAGGCTCTGGCAAGACACACCTGCTTTCATTAGAAGGACAATGTAAAGAGCCAGTGCCATGCATCTGCAACGCACAGACCCAAGGCCAGCGGGGAAAGGTGTGGGGGGAAGTAGCAAGGCTTTTTTTTTTTTCTTTTAAAAACCAAACATCAACCTCATCACCAGAATGTAGCAATGTTTTCCAAAGTGTGGGTGAAGTCCCCAGAGAAGCAGAAGTGAACTGTCAAAAGAACTGTGGAAAGAACAAGAAGGTCGTTTGTCAGGTCCAAACATAAAAGGGAAAAGGAAGAAATTCAACAGAAAAGGGTTGTTAGTTTTTATGATCACAAGGAAACCTTTATAGCAGAAGGCAACAAGAAGAAAAGAAGAAAGCGAAAGCATGTGTGCATGTGCATGCATGTGTGTACATGCTGCATGGAGTTAGGTGTTAGCAGTTGCTCTTTCAGGCAACGAGTAATGAGAAATGTGAGGAATGTCCCACCTCATTCATACGATCTCTGAATTTCAGCATTATTTAACTTTTAATCTGCTAATCAATGCATGTGAGAGAAGGAGAGAAACTGGCACAGTAAGGAGCTTTACACTATTTACTACAAGAGACTATTGAAGTTGGACGGGCTATTTATACTATGCATATGTTCGCAAGGGACTGGGAAGGGGGCAGAACAGTTGCTTTTCTGTTCCCAGCAGAGAAGGGAAAAAAAGACAGCCAAGTGTCCTCACTACACAGAGGCAAACCCTGGAATAATAGCATGGTCACACCCAGGTTTAAAAAGTCTGTCCACTGCTCTCTGACCTGCTGGGTGATATCTTGGGATCTCACACGAAAGCGAACTGAAGCAGGGGGGAAACAGGGAGGCTCTTTGTGGCCTGCAGAGAAACCTGAAGGACAAGGAAAAGGGGACTACAGGAAAGGACATTTCCCTGTAAAATCTGAATATGTTTCAACATGCCAAAGCATGCACCTTAGGGCTCACCTCCATCATTACATGCTCACCTTACACACATATCTGCTTCATATTTCTTTCCATAAAGAATTCCTAATAAAGATGGGTTCTTGTTTCCTCTGAAATTTAGTGTTACATCATACACTGCTGAAACTGTTGCAAAAAAGAAAATACGGCTGTTATAGTAGCAATTCTAGCAACCATTGCCAGCATCCTTGCATTAGACAGCAACGGTCTTGTGCAAGCCTGGCATTAATGACGTCAGGTAGCAGAGTCCTTCACTACTCTGCATTTACATATTGTATTTATCTGTATCAGCCACCTGACATTCCCATCTACACAGCATGTGTGTTATCAAAACACAAGATGACTTGATGAACTAAGCAACAATGACATACACGAAAGGTTTATTATTTTTTAAGAATGTTATCTGAGAGTTATGTGGCAATTTACAAATTAACGGTTGACATGCTGAATACTTACTGCCAACTCACTGATTGTAACGGACATAATGAATAACAGAGTATACTACACTGTGCTAGACAGAGTATACTAAACAACACACTACAATTAATGCAAAGAACAAGTAACAGCTTGCCAGTACCTGTTCCCCTGAGACACTGGACAGCAGTGGTGAAACCTTTGGTTCTGGGCAACAGGTGGTATTTCAGTTTAGGCAACCCCTTGGATTCAGCTACCTCCATACTGATACGATGCTTGGTCTCTGTAAAACGAGTTCCTTCACAGTACAGGAGAAACTAGTACAATGAGACAAAAGGCAAAAACAAGGACATCTTGAGATCAAAAGAAACCAAGAAGAATACTGAAAATTTGTGTAAGAGAAACATATACCCATGCATGTGCACACACTTCAACTGTCTCATTTGACCATCAAGTATTAGGCATAAGCATCACCTCACAACTCATTTACAATTACATTTGATTTTAACAACACTGGTACCAAATTTAAGGCAACAAAAAGTCTAAATTGTTATACCTGAAATATTTACTTTAAAAAACAAAAATCCCTGAAGGCTTTGGCTGGCTGTTGATGGACTAATCTACAAATCAGAAAAAGCAATCCAAATATCAGTACATGACCACTTTAGGAAAAAACAATTAATCACTAGGTACCTCATTTAAAATTTATACTGTACATCCAGAATTACTCATCTGAAGACAGACTTGTTTGTCTGAAAGCTATTCTGTTTGGGTTTTTTGGTTTGGGTTTTGGGTTTTTTTTGCATTTGTATCAGTCGCATTCATAAAAAATGGTGCCTTTCCCTAAAACCTTTACCTTGTTCAACTTGTAAGGCACCAATCTGACTGTGGTATCCTGAGTAACTATTGAAGACTTAAATCCTCCCATACTGACTTCAAGCAGCACAAAACATCGATCTCTCCTTCTCCAGCCTCTATATTGCCTCTGCTCTAGTTTAGAGAGAGGCCAGAAGCAATGCAAAGCCAAAAGCAGACAAACAAAGCCCTTCTGAGGGTCCTAGGGTGAATTTCTGTTTATCCCTGGCCTTTTTGAAAGGTGGACGTAATTCCCATTGCACCAGCAATGGAAACATTGCTGCATTTGAACACACAAACCTCTGCATCCCAGGCAAGCAATGGAGGTGGAGAATAGCAGACTGCTACTACTCTCTCACAGCAGTATCAAGCAACGCTGTAACATTGCAATTCAAAAGAAAGGCTTGTCCAACGCATCGCTATACGTCTATTTGTCAGCACTGTAGTTGCTTGACTTTTTCTCTGTAGCATATCCACATACTGTGCACCACAAAAAGTTAAATGAATATTAAAACCACAAAGCCATAGACATAAGAGTTAGACCTGCCAGAGCGCAGTAAGAGAACAGGAACTGGTCCTCCAATCTTCATTTGGCCCTTGAGGGCACGCTCATTATGAAAACCTGACCAACCACCACCAAGTGGTGAGGGCAGCACAAGGTACAGAGTGTAACACCGCAATCTCAACCCCAGTCTGCAATGCAAGCTCTTTCCTCAATACCAAATTCTCACCCTCTTCTACTCCACGGTGCAGTGATCCTTCTGGACCAAGTATGCGAGCGAGGTACAGACTGTGCCGCAGTGCACATGTGAGAAAGACCTCACGAAGGAAGGTTGCGCAGACAGCCCTAATTGCAGCATTTAGAATGCACGAAAATTAGGAAATTGATTTACTCAAGTCAATTTTAATCATTATTTAAATTACCAAGCAGGAAGTCTTGATTTAAATAATCAATGCTAACTACGTTTTGCATTTATATTTTCTAGTTGTTTTCCCTAGAGACTAGTCCTTGGTTCTCAATCGTGGAATCATTAAAATGTATAGATTTGCAACTAAAGTACAGTCTTGAGATTTTTTAATTGGTAGGGTTTTTTTCTTTTTTTGCAACACTAATCAGGAGGATATATTAAATGTAGTTCATATCCATATATTCAAGCAATTAAGTAGTTTAAAATACATTCTCCAGATTCTTATTTTTTTCTATCTTTGTAATGATAGAAAATCGTGAATGACACATTCACAATGTACTAGTTAAGGCTTACTATTTCACTATGCATTTTAACTGGATAATATTGAAAAATCACTTAAAATGCACAAAAAGCCTCTTAAAATGTTTTATGAGCCAAATAACTGTACATTACATGCACTGCTGTAAAAGCAAACCAGTAAATTTATCAAAACGTTTGCATTCAAAGCTAGAAGGTGGTTAATAGGTTGATTATACCACTGTGTTGCTGCAGTAAAATCTAACAACAATGCACACAATGAAACATAGAAGTCTCACCCTTGACTTCAAATAGTGTCAAAATAAAAAAGAAAAGCATAACTGAAAAGCAGATGTAAGCTTGCCTTATGTTCTCATATAGACTTTTTGGGAAACCTGTAATTTCACAGATACATACTAACAAGACACATAGTAACATATACATATACTAACATACACACAGATACATACTAGCATACTAAGAAGCACTTCCTATCAAAATTCATGGTCTGTGCATCCCTCCCTCACCCCCCCAATTACTCACTTCTCCAGAAAAGACTTTTTTGTTTATGTGTCTTTTTAGCCTACCTCGGAAAATGTAGCTTAAGGTTATATAGATTTAGTAGTCAAATATGGGCTGTTGTTAATTTTGTCTGAACTTATTTTTACCTTTAAAAAAAAAAAAAAAAAGTATTACACAAGCCCGATTTATAAATGATCGTCAAGGTTCTAATCATCTCTGCAAGCTTCTGAACCATTTCCTAAATGACCTCCCTTACCAACAGGCAAACGGAGCAACACTTTACCAGCATATCCCAAAAGGCCTCCTGAAACAGAGCACAGGTTTTCCTTGACAACACTTGAAGAAAGTAGTGAGCAGACCTTCTCCTGATACCTAAAGCTACAGTACCACATGAGTACCTCCGTCACCATTTCACTTCTAGCTGTCAATACTAGAGGAGGAACTCAACACTTACCCACATATATTCAGGATAATCAGCCAAACGTTTTAATCCTTCAATAACCGTATCTCTGTCTTCTTCCCATTTCCTTTTGCAGAAAACAATCTCGAGGAAGTACCACGTCCAGCCAATTAGGGGCACATATAGTAGCTCTCTCTTAGCAAGAACTTTGGAACTCTTGGAGATAAACAAAAACAACAATTCAAAAATGTCATTTGCTGATTTGTACAATGACATCAAAGACATTAAAGTTAAGATGATGAAGAGTTGATGGAGTTATATCTGGAAACTCAAATGCAAAGAAACTGTATGTGCATGGTTTTTAAATAGACCTATCATCCTCCACATGAAGGGAAAACTCACAGCCCCACATACCCCTAGCACTCCGAAGCGCTCTGTCATAGTCCAGCCGCACAAGAAGTCGATTTCAAAGTTGTGGTTCAAGATGATGATGACGTGTTCTTTCCCAAAGGTGTTCACCGTGGCCTCGTCTGAGAACAAGGTGCACTCTGTGCCTGACCACCATTCCAACAGCATTACCAACTCTAACAAACATGAAGAAGACAAGAGAGAGGAGTTAGGGATGCCGCTTACAGAAAGCATTTAGCATTTCATTTCCAGCCCTGTTCAGTGCCTAGTGTCTTCTAACTCCCAGCAACACTGTCACCTTTTCAGTCCAACCCAGTAGAGATGAAATGAAAGCTTGAATGGGTATAGACCAAATCACAGCACCATCCTTAAGCAGTATTTAGGGCACTAGATACATGCATTATGGATAATTTAGCAAGTTTTTAACAGTGACAAGTTTGGTCATTATATTATGAATGTGAAATTTCATGATCACTGGGAAAAAAACCCAAAACTTTGTGCCTGAAAACAGACAGTTGAGCCGTTGATTGCTCCACTAAATGAGTACAGTTTCTCCCAGGTGGAATACAAATTATGCATAGATGCAGCCTAATGCTTTTACTCAACATGAAACAAGCTTTATGGAGGTAAACAGACCAATAAAGGGCTTTTAAAGGGATACAGTGCCATAGATCTTCTGCAATAGATTTTAATATTAGAACACAGGACTCTAATCATTCTGTATTATGGTCATCAACAGAGTCAGAAGCGCCAGAAAATCGAGCTAATTTATCAAAATACCCGGGCAAAGACAGGAATGGTAAATTGTGTCTGTCTTTCACTGCAAATGAAAGAATGAGCCCTTTCTGCCCTCTGTCTTCTCCAGCTTCTCAATATCCCAGCATCTCTCTTACTCCACCCTGAACATTTCCTTCATTACCCACTCTTCTTATTTTCCACCTCTCCTTTTTTCTTCTTAAAAACCCCTGTCCACTTAATTCAGCATGCACTGAATGTAGTTGCTATGGTTAGCCTATTTCTCTCATTTCAGTACAACGAGGCAGATGGAAGACATTGCTTGTATCATGGGACAACTATAAAAAAGTATGAGAATAGTTCATTCTCCCATTAGGAAGATTTGCTTCCATGCAAACTGTAGTCATTGGTATTTTCTCATTTCAATGTGAAATGGATGCAATCAAAATTTTGTTGCACAAATACGGCAGTTGAAATGTCCAACTCTTCCCACATTACTACAACAAACTTGCAGGGTCAAAACTGGAAGGCACCCCCTTGGTCCTCTACATCAGCCAGTTCTGCCATGCAGTATTTCAACTTTCCATTGGGAGGCCCTAGTTTTCCAAAATGGGGCAGCGTCTTCCTGCACGAGGGCTTCTGATCAGTGGGATCATGACAGAGTAATCTGTTCAAACTGCTAAATAAGAGTGGCTCCAATTCTGCACCACATCAGAGAGAAGGCAAACACAGTATTTAGGTGAATGATAGGGAAAACCAATCCTGGTCTGCTGAAGATGCGTAGCTTCTCTAACACTGTTTTTTCACTTGTATTCCCTGTGTGACCGCTATCCACCAGGTTATTCCCCTATATCGTTTTCAAGACTCACTCATTTGGAGGTATGACAAAGTTACGCAACTTGCTGATCAAGAAAGCATGACCCTGGTCAACTGGAAATACAGCAGAGAAAAGACAGAATAATAGTTTATACCAACTAGAGGTTTCTGTCATTACTTTCCAGCTTTGTCTCCTTTGCAAATGATGTGATCACTTACCTTTCTTGCTCTGGTTAACCTGGCTCAGCAAAAGGGGAAAGAGGACAGCAAGAGTGTCCCCAGTTGAGAGCTATGCTCTTCCAAGCAGGTGGGCAGGAGAATGGAGTAGTGGTACCAAACACAGTGTGGTACTCTGAGTGATTTTCCTTTTCCATTGCTCTCTGTGTACTAAGGAGGAACATCTCCAGTACTTGCTACAGCTGCTGCATTTTCTTATCAAAAATAAAATAAAATGGGTGTGTTTCTTCTTCAAAATCAGAAAAAAATTCTGCAGAGGCAGGTATGGGTAATTTTCTGCAAAGTGTTTCTTGTACCATTCACTCTAAAATAGCGGACGAAGCTTTGCTGAGAGATTTCCCAGAGTTCACACTGAAAGAGGAGGGTTGATGAGCTAGAGAATTAATACAAGGAAACAGATTGGCCTTTACAAGTGTACTGATAAATGATGCAATTATAACCAGGAGTGGGCTCATTTCCTTTTTTTTTTTTTTTTTTTTTTTTTTTTGGGGGGGGGTTTCCCCTTTTTTGTTT